TGTGTCGTGGAGTCGGTTCCGACTCCTAGTGACCCTGTATAGGTTTCTGAGGCTACACACACACACACACACATATACTGCAGTTGTTAAGTGCCTTTGAGTTGGTTCTGACCTTGTATAGGATTTCCAAGTAGCAGCTGGTGAGTTTGAACCACTGGCCCTGCAATTCAAACCGACCTTGTAGTCCAGCACATTAATCCATATGGGGAGTGCAGTGACTCCGTACGATAAGTACTGGACTGTGAACTACACGGTCTGAGGTTTGAGCCCAGCAAGTGCTCTGAGGGATAAAGACGAGATTTTCTGTTCCCACAAAGATTTAATAGTCTTGGAAACCCCCTTTTACAAGGTCACTGTGAATTGAAACCTACTCAAAGGCACTTAACAGCAACATATATATAGACTCTAGTAGTATAGAGGATTACAAGCTGGGTTGCTAACCACAATGTCAGTAGTTCAAATCTGCCATTGTTCTGCAGGAGAAATATGAGGCTTTCTGCTCCCCCAAAGATTTGCAGCCTTGAAACGCTATACAAGATCGCTACGAATCAGCACTGAGTAAGTGGCACACAACCCCACCAACCTACATATATATTGTTGTTGTTAAGTACCATCAAGTCAGTTCCAACTCATAGAGACCCTGTCTAGGAGCTGCTTGTGAGTTTGAACCCCCAACTTTACACTTCAAATGACCTTCTATATCTGTATATCTACATATCATCTAGAATCCTGGTGTGGCACTTTGGGTTAATGTGCCATATTGTAAAGCCATTTGAACTGTAAAATCAGCAGTTCAAGCTCACCAGTTGTTCATTGGAAACCCTATACAGAGTTGCTGTGGGTCAGAATCAACTTGATGATACTTAGCAACAAAAACATATTTCATCTATATACCTATATCTATTATGGAGCTGCAGGATAATGCAGTGGACTGCAAGGCCGGTTTGAACTGCAAGGTAGGTGGTTCAAGCCTACCAGCTACTCCTCAGGAACTCTAGACAGCATCGCTATGAAGCAGAACTGACTTGACTGCACTTAACAACAGCAAGCACCAACAACATATATATATGGAGTCCTGGTGTGGCACTGCCGAATAATGTGCTGGACTGCAAAGTCAGATTGAACTATAGTGAAGGTGGTTCAAGCTCACCAGTTGCTCCTTGGACATCCTGTACAGGGTCACTATGAGTCAGAACTGACTCAATGACATATATATATATATATATATATCTGTGTGTGTGTGTGTTGTTAAGTGCTGTTGAGTTTGTTACAATTCATAGAGACCCAGCTGGTGGGTTGGAACTGCCAAGTTTGTGGTTCAATGTCCAGTGCTGATCCTACAAACCACACCAGGAGTCCCTATATGCAAGTTGGAAATGACTCAACAACACTTAACAACCACAAGTATTGTTGTGGTGTTAGGTGCCATTGAGTTGGTACTGACTCATACCAATGTTATGTACAACAGAACGAAACACTGACCAATCCTGGGCCAACCTCACAATTGTTGCCACGTTTGAACCTATTGATGCTGCCACTTTGCCAATCCATCTTGCTGGGGGTCTTCCTCTTTTTACTCTGACCCTCCACCTTACCAAACATGATATCCTTCTCCAGTGACTGGTCCCTCCTGACAATATGTATGAAATATGAGAGACGAAGTCTGGCCATCCTGGCTTCCAAGGAGCACTCTGGCTGCACTTCTTCTAACACAGATCTGTTGGGTTTTTTGGCAGCCCATGGCACTTTCAATATTCTCCTCCAACACCATAACTCAAGAGCATCTATTCTTCTACGGTCTTCCTTATTCACTGTTCAACTTTCACATGCATATAAGGTTATTGAAAATACCATGGCTTGGGTCAAGTGCACCTTAGTCCTCAAGCTGGCATCTTTGTTTTTCAACACTTTAAAAAGGTCTTGTGCAGCAGATTTGCCTAATGCAAAATGTTGTTTGATTTCTTGACTGATGCTTCCATGAGTGCTGATAGTTGATCCAAGAAGAATGAAGTCCTTGACAACTTCAATCTTTTCTCCGTTGATAATAATGTTGTTTATTGGTCCAGTGGTGAGGATTTTTGTTTTCTTTTCATTGAGATGTAATCCATACCAAAGGTTGTGCTCTTTGATTTTCACCAGTAAATATTTTAAATCCTCTTCACTTTCTGCAAGCGATGTTGTATCATCTGTATATCGCAGGTTGTTAATGAGTGTTCTTCCGATCCTGATGCCATGTTTTTCTTCACATAACCCAGCTTCATGAATTATTTGCTCAGCGTACAGGTTGAATATGTATGGTGAAAGAATGCAACCCTTTCATACACCTTTCTTAATTTTACACCATTCAGTGTCCCTAAGTTCTGTTCTAACAACTGCCGATTGGTCCATGTACAGATTCCTCATGAGCACAATTAAGTATTCCAGAATTCTAGTTGCATATATGTGTGTGTGTGTGTGCATCTATGTTTATATATATATGAGCCTCTCAATAGCCTTTCTAGGTGGATGTTTTTATCTTCAGTTTACTAATGCTGAAACCAAGGCTCAGAGAACTTAATTAGCCTGCCGAGATTCATATAGTGTATAAAACGCAGAGCTCAAAATTAAACACAATTTTCTTTACTCCTAATCCAGTGTTCTTTGCACTTTCTAGTGCTCTACACCCTACATGGTTACTGTCACTGTTTTAACAACATGGTAGCTTTTATTGGTTAATTGCTTATTATTAGTTTTAATTTGTTCTGTTGCATCAGTTCAGCTAGGTATAAAGAATACCCTTTATTTCTCTGATTATTTCAATACCAGCTATGTTGTTGTTGTTAAGTGCCACCGAGTCGGTTCCAACCCATAGCGACCCTGAATAGGGTTTCCAAGGCTATAAATCTTTATGGGAGCAGAAAGCCTCATCTTTCTCCCACGGAGCAGCTGGTAGATCAATGCCAGCTATAGGGATCTGGAATTTGTAGTTAATTTTGGTAGAAATTTCAGTTCTTCTGATAAGAGTCCCACTGATTGGCATCCAAGGGGGTAAAGGTCTGGCCTGAACAAGCAGCCAGCATGGTTGATAACCAAGTTACTTACTGAAACCAGGTCAGCTCATTCCTCAGTAAAATTCTGCCACCTTCAATAACACTGAGATGACTGGCACCCTAGGAATTTGCTTCACATAGGCCATTCAAAATCCTTTGAGAATTGTCTTTCTGGTGGCCCTGAGAAATCACACATAACCATTTTATAATACTAATTAGAAACTTTGTACCCATGGCTATTAATAAAATTATTTTTAAATGTCATTGGAATACCAGGTGTTAGACCAAACCCAATATAAAATGCCATTCTGAAGTGAAGACATTTTGGTCTATCTGCCTTCCCAGGTGTCTGAGTCCCACACATTGTTGATTGTATCAGGAACATGGAAAGTTAAATCCTGAGCAGGACCCAGCTAGTTAGTGTTTTCTCTGGGTGTGGACACACACTGGTTGTGAATCAACAGATAAAACAGCTAGTTAGTATTTCTGAGCTGTTTTTCATGACAGTTCCTTTTTAGTGAAATGTTTTACATGTTAATGATTTTGCTACATATTGCTGTAGCAAAATTAAGAAATCAGGGCTCTAAGAAGATAAGACAAGAAGTCAGTTCAGGACTGAAACTCAGGACATGTTAATTTTAGTTCTTTTCTATTTCTACTGGGCTCAAGAAAAGCATCCATGCATTCAATGAAAGAGATGGTCCTCCATTTGTGCAAACATACCAGCTAAAGAGCTGGCAAGTCAGAGGTGCCAGGGTGTAGTGCTCAAGAACAATCTGGAGCAACATGGGTGGGTTGGAGCCCTAGTTCTGGCATTTACTAGCTGTTGTTGTTATGTGCTATGGAGTTGGTTCTGACTCACAGTGACCCTATACTAGCTGTATGCCTTGGTTATTCAACCTTTAAGTTCTTCTTTGTTTATCTATAAAACAGAGTTAAAATGTTTCCCCAAAAAACTATTATGAGCATTGTAGTTGTTGTTAGCTGCTGTTGAGTTGGTCCCTGATTCATGGTTGTTTTTGTTAAGTGCCATCAAGTCAGCTGGTGAGTTGGAACCACTGACCTTGCGGTTCAAACCAATCTTGTGGTCCAGTGAGGTGTCCTGCTGTGCCACACCAGGACTCCCTGACTCGTGGTAGCCCTATCTATTACAGATGAGACTTGTCCCATGGGATTTTCTTGGCTGGAACAAATATGGCTGCTAACCTCAAGGTCAGCAGTTGAAAACTACCAACTGTTCTGTGGGAGAAAGATGAGGCTTTCTGCTCCTGTAAAGATTTGCAGCCTTAGAAACCCAGTGCAGGGTCGCTATGACTTGGAACCAACTCCACGGTACTTAACAACAATAACAACAACCTTTATGAAAGCAAATTGCCATGCAGAGTCAAGGGGTAGGTTCAAAGTACCAACCTTTGAGTTAGAAGCAAATTGCAAGCCATTTGAACCACCTGGCCTCCACTGTTATGAGCAATAGAAAAGTTAACATATGTCAAGTATACAGACCAGGATCTGACACTCAGTAAGTACTATGTAAATGTTTAGTTCAAAAGGAAAATACACAAACTAAAAACCCTTCTCTTTTTTCAGTGCCATTAGCAGCATGCTCTGGTAACCTAGCCTGCTGAGAAAGCCCTTCTCTCTCCCCATAAGTTTACTCTTTAAACAATGCCAATATTTCAGCAAGGTTATCAGACTTAACACTCTTTACACAATGCCAATGTTTCAGGAAGTCAAAGACACACATCTAATTAATTAAAATATTAAACTTTCATACCAGAAACCCATTTCTGAATCTTTGCAAAACTTTTTTGGGATAACAAAAGTCTTTTATTCCAACGTAAGGGGAAGGAGAAACTGGAGACTAGAATATATACTACTGGAAGACTGGCAGCAAAGATAAGCATATGATCCTACATATAAATATGTATTTAATGTGAGTTGATTTATTGAACTTTTCTTTGCTTTTTTCAGCTACCACCACACAGTCAAGGCACAGGGGTCACTTCTCTCGGTGCCCCAAGGAATACAAACATTACTGCATCAAAGGGAGATGCAGGTTCCTGGTAGCTGAGCAGACGCCCTCCTGTATGTAAGTAGACCTCCGTGACCAAGCAAACAAAGGGGAGCAGAATGGAGCCATCCTGCAGCCTGACAAGACTGGAAAGTCTGAGCTAACCCTGCCTTCTGTCAAGACACAGTTTGGTCCTGCCCCCAGCCCTTATTTAAGGGCCCATTTGCCAGCTACTTATGAAGAAACTGACGCACACTTTCCTCTTGAAACATGAATGTTAGAGAGTCCAGATCTGCTTCCTGGCTGAGCCTCCTACTCTGATGTTTCTGTCCAATGTTAAAGATGCTTCTCAGTGCAAATAAGCTTTCAGGTGGTTCAAATGGAAACAAATTCTCTGGCATGCATTAGGTGGTTCAAAGTTAATGTAAATATTAGAAATTTCTGCCAGATTAAAAGCCACCTTTGCTGCCAAGTGAGTTAAGTCAAGGAATCAATCCAGTTTATAAATAGCAATTAGCAAATTGGGTTTCAGTGTAATGTAATTGGGAGGAAATTCCCCATTTCAACTCTTAGTAGATTCAGAGTTCCAGTTTAATTTTATTCACGCATGAATAACTTTTTAAATTTTGGCATTGATTTTACAATTTCTAATACTGATTTTTCTCTTAAGAGATGTCCCTGAAAAGTCATGTCTGGGACGTTTCCTTACAGAGAAGCAAGGTGATTTTTCTAAAACAATTTTGACCAGAAGTTCATAAAAAGTTTACGTTCTTCTGCATAGTACCCCAGTATATATTTTTTCTCTTAATTATTTCAGAAAAAGTTATTCTCAGTCCTAATTTTGTAGAAGAGTTGTGGAGTTTTTTTAAAAAATTAATTGTAATCAACTTCATTTTCAAAATAAATATATCATGATTTTGTTGTTGTTGTGTGCCATCCAGTTGGTTCCAACTCATAGCGGTATCTGAGGAGTGCCTGCTGAGTTTTGAACCACTCACCTTGTGGTTCAAACCAGCCTTGTGGTTGGCAGTTCAAATCCACCAGCTGCTCTAAGGGAAAAAGACGAAGCTGTCTGCTCCCGTAAAGATTTTCAATCTCAAAACCCCTATATATGGTCACTGTGAGCCGGAATTGATTAGAAAACTGGATTTGGTTTGCAGTGTAAGGAAATAAGGAAAATGTGTGGTGTGTGGGAGTAAGTGTGGGCAGGGTAGAGCTGCTCTTTTCATTTAATTGAATTGCTCATTGACGAGAGTACTCATTAAGTTTGAAACTATTCATGCTCTTTAATTATTTTTTGCACTGGTTCCTATGTCTACATATTTATTGTGTTTTGTTGTTTTGTTAGGTGGCTTTGAGTTGGTCCTGACTCATGGCGACCCTATGCACAACAAAAGGAAACACTACCTTGTTCTGTGCCATTCTCACAATGTTTCTTACGTTTGAGCTCATTGCTCCTGACACTGTGACCTCTAAAATGAAAACAGTGGTGTGAAATCTACCAGTACATAGTCTGCCACCTTCCTTGGCCTTCATAATCTGTCTGATCCTGCCCTAACTTTGTAGCTACATCTTTCTCTATATTCCCAAATATTGTTCTAAAACCCTGAACTCCTTTTCATGGTTTATTACAGAAGATATTTTCATAGCCTGGAAAGCTTATTTTTACTGATGTTTTAAGACTCACCAGATCCTCCTGGACTCCTTTATTAACCTCCTCCTTTCCAGACCCACACCCAGGTGTGAATTAGGTGCTCATGCTCTGTGTCTTTTACGCTGTTATAAAAACACTTTTCCCACTGGAACTTAACTATTAGTTTATTTGAAGTCCTTGAGGCAAGACCAATGGCTTATTTATTTTGTGATTCAGTGCCAAGTACAGTGCCTAGAATTTACTAGATGAAATAAGAGATGACTAAATCAATGTTGCTTCCATCATGACCAAACTAACATTATGTACAATACCAAAATCTGAACCAGAAGCACTTTTTAAGTGATGGAGTATAAATGGGAGGCAGACAGATGTAGGTCTTAAGGAACAGATTTGGGAGTCGGCTAGACTTACCGTAAACACATAGTGCAGTACCTATAGGGTAAGCATTAGACTGTTAACCACAAAGTTGACAGTTCAAACCCACCAGCTGCTCCCCTGAAACCCTGTACAGGGTCTTTATGAGTCAGAACTGATTAGACAGCATTTAACAACAGCAACAATAACAGACTTATCTTAAGTTTTTATTTCTAGAAATTATAAGTAGTGTTAACTATGGTCAAGTTATCTTTTATGAGCTTCAGTTTTCTCAACTATAAAAAGTATAGTAGTATCTTTCATTCAAGTGTTGAAGATTAAGCAAAAATATTGCATGTAAAAGTTATCACAGCCAGCATAAAGAATGTTCCATTAAGTATACCATCAAATGACGCAGTCTAGGTCTGACCATTTGATTTCTTAGTATAGCATGGATTTAGGCAAACTTGTCTTGTCATTGGTGACTATATCACCTTGAGAAATGCGAAATTACTCTTTTTGTTTAGGATCATGGGAATTTGTAACTCCTATGTTTACAGGAAAACCAAAATGTGTTTGAAACACACAAATGCCTATTAGTCTTCTCATTTTTACTTGGAATGAGATCATTTGTTTCCAGCCATATTAAATTTTATTGATTTATGCACCAAAGTACATTTAAGTAGTGTTGCATGGTGATTAAGAGCATGAATTTAGAAAGTGGATTTCCTATGTTTGAATCCCTCCCTGCTTATTTCTCTGTACCTCAGTTCCTTCATCTGTGGTGTTGTTGTTGTTGTTATGAAATTGATAATAGTACCCACTTCAAGGGTTGTTCTAAGTATAAATCAAGTTAATACTTATAAAGCCCTTAAAAGAGTGCGTGGTGAGTATTCCAGAGGAGTGATCCCAAACTCTGATTTTGTTAAACCCTGAAGGATCATGCTCACCTTTTTAAAATAATTTAAATTAAAATGTAAATTTGAAATATTTAATTTTGTGAGATTCTTAATAAATAAAAATCAATGTGTTAATGTATTGAACCATAAATAAACAATAGGATCTTGCTCATGTTCATCTTCTGCATCCGTGAAAGAGGCTCACATGCATATTTGGTTTCAATGCTGTAGAACACACACTGAAAGTGGCCATCAGCTGATACAGTATAGGCCTGATGAAAGTGAAATAACAGGAGAGCCATGTTGACCAGCTATACCAAGGTTTGACCTTCTTGCATGGCTTGATTGAGTAATAACTTACAGAAAGTGCTACTGAGAATTCCATTGTAAGCCATGCTAGAACCACTAGATTCAGAGCTGATAGTTAGAAAACATTATAAAAGAGCAGCAAATAATTGATATGCATTTTATTGGCAATGCTATTGACTCATTATCAACCTGCAGTATGCAGATGATACAACATTGCTTGCTGAAAGTGAAGAGGAATTAAAATATTTACTGCTGAAGCTCAAAGACCATAACCTTGGGTATGGATTACATCTCAATGTAAAGAAAACAAAAATCCTTACCACTGTACCAATGCACAATAGTCTTATCAGTGGAGAAACGATTGAAGTTGTCAAAGACTTCATTTTTTTTTAATCATCCATCAACACTCATGGAAGCCACAGTCAAGAAATCAAACGGAATATTGCATTAAGCAAAATCTGCTGCACAACACCTTTTCAAAGTGTTGAAGAACAAAGATGTCAGCTTGAGGACGAAGGTATGCCTGACCCAAGCCATGGAATTTTCAGTAACCTCATATGCATGCAAAAGCTGGACAGTGACAGAGGAAGATCATACAAGAATTGATGCATTTCAGTTATGGTGTTGGAGGAGAATATTGAAAGTACCATGGGCTACCAAAAGAACCAACAGATCTGTGTTGGAAGAAGTACAACCAGAGTGCCCCTTGGAGGTCAGGATGGCCAGACTTCATCTCTTATACTTGGGAAAAATTGTCAGGAGGGACCAGTCACTGGAGAGGAATATCATGTTTGGTAAGGTGAAAGGTAGGAGAAAAGAGGAAGACCCCCAGCGAAATGGATTGGCAAAGTGGCAGCATCAATGGCTCAAGCGTGGCACGAATTGTGAGGTAGCCCCCGGACTGGGCAGTGTTTTGTTCTGTTGTGCATAGGGACTGTGAGTTGGTACTGGCTAGATGCCAACTAACAACAACATTGTTTTAAAATGACATTTAGTAAATATGCTATTGAAAAAAATTAAATTATTTGAGAGACTCTATTTATAGTATTTTAATTAAGACTGTAAAAATATATGTATTCAAGTTTTTTCCTTCCCACACATGCAATTAGAAATTATTTCCCCCCATTTCTAGTGCTGTGCATAGCAGATGTTTGCTATTTCAAGATATTTCTAAACTATTTCCCAGTTGTTTTAACCTTTCCTTGGAATGAAAATACTTAGCTATATTACAGGAAACAAGTTTGGCTTTGCAGTAGATTGATGGCATTAGGAGTCTGTTCTACTTTGCTTGCATTAAGCCTCAGCTTTCAACTGATGGTTGTTAATGAACTTTGTGGTGCTGTTGGTGGATAATTGCACTAGGCCTCAAGTTCAGTTTGAAATGCAAGGTTGGTGATTCAAATTCATCAGCTACTCCTTGGAAACCCTATACAGTGTCACTATGACTTGGAACTGATTAGATGGCACTTGATAACAACAACAAAGGAAACTTGTAGAGTTCTGGTGTGGCACTGTAGGATAAAACACTATACACAAGGTCTGCTTGAACCTCAACATGGTGCTTCAAACTCAACAGCTCTTCCTCAGAAACCTCATACGGGGTCGCTGAGAGTCAGATCTGACTCAATAGCACTTAACAACAACAATAAACTTGCATTGTTTTTCTGTTTGTTTGTTGTTGTTCATTTGTTTTTTGTTTCATTTTGTTTTTAAAGTATTATTTCAGCTGCACTATTGACATTAAGGCCTCACCTTACTAAAGAAATGTAGGTTTTATGGGAATTAACTGCTTTAGCTCTTATCACATATAAACTAAAGAAAGGCCTGCCAGCAGATGCTTTCTTAAAGAAAAAATGGTTTGC